TAGTCATAGCTATACTACAAGTGAAGCTGAACGTACCGGTAGCCTACGCTCGGCCATAAAACCTAACAGTGTGACCACTACAAAGGATGAAATCTTCAAACGCAAAAGAATGAACCAGAGTCCCAGAAATATCCAAAACAAGTACGTTCCAGGTGGGCGTACATCAAAGAAGGCATAGGTGTGTCCATCGGCCAGCTAGGCCATGGCGCTTTTTTTTGTTTGGGATGCATGCGATTTCAATCCACTCTGCTAAATTTTGCTCGCCTGGTGGAAATGCCACATGTGGGTAGTGAACTGAATTTTTCTCAAATGACCGATCGCCGGATGCGGATACTTTTGAAGACCTAAAAATGTTACAGCAGTTTGGCGATACTTCCATTGCAAAAGGTCGTACGACCGGTGTATTTTTGTCTAAAAAACTTCAGGCGCGAATTTCTCATTTTGTAGAATTTTTACAAAAAATTATGGGTCTATAGAGCATGCCTGAAGCTATCTTTTGAAGACCTAAAAATGTGTCTACAGCAAATCTTTGTTTCAACTTTTTGGGCTGAAAGAAAGACTTGAGGCGCGAATTTTCACATTTTTTCAAGCTTTCTTTTTTTTGTTTAAAAGTTTCAAACTCTGTAGAACATTTATAAAAATTTGACGAATTTTAACAAATGTTGATAAAAATCTTAATCGTTTTTATCAGATTTTTTTAGAATTGTTTTCAGTATGCAACTTTGTAGTTCACTAAGGTTTTGTATAATAAAGTTCAAGTTTGAAGTAGCTTGGGCTTACTGTCGGTTTTTTGCTAATTTTTTGTTCGCGCATGTTCTTCCATACATAGTATGTCCGAAATTTTTTTTTTAAGTGGAGAAAATGAGCAACTCCTTCAACGATAAGTCCTAGCTACTTAAAATTTGCACTTGGAATTGAATGGGTTATTAAACTGCCTACTCAGAATGTTTCTAAGAAATCTAATTGAAAAGCTCAAAATTTTGATGAAACTTTGTCGAATTTTGATAACTTTTGTAAAAAGTTTGAAATTATGACTTACATGGCTTTCGTTAGAGAAGGAGGAACACTGCAATAGCTCGCAAGCGTTATCTCCTGCTATATATCTTATACGTCCCGACTTTTAAAAATATTCAGCGGGACAATATTCTCATATCGGTACTGTCCCGCCAAAATCGGTACGAATGGTCACCGTATATACAGGCTATATATAGCCTAGCATTTCCAACGAATACATACAAACTAAAACCATCAACACAACTACATGTTTTCATTCCTTTAGGCAAACGATAATGCTTTAAACTTAAAGTCAAAATGTCACATAAATCTTTGCTTGAATTCTAATTAAAATACTTAAGATGACAATGAAGTATGCGGTGAATGAAGGCAGCAATGGAAGAGTATCACTCTCAGTAGCTTGAAAACAGAAATTCTCATCAACTAAAATATTATACACATGCATATACATACATATGTATGCACATACATACGTTTGACATGTGGCACGCGAGCGGCATGTGGCAAGCAGGTACGAATGTTGGTATGCATGAATGTAAAATTGTGCAACGCCAAGTTAACACAGCATGCAGCAAACAATGTTGCTTCGATTGCTGGTATTGCAAATAATGCTGTTAGTGTCGAACTTTCCCCTCTACGTACGACGCGCCGCTCGAGCTCTCAACTCCTCAGCAATGTCTTTGAAAGCGAACAGTAGTACTTCATCCGCTTTAGCTTAACTTAAGCTTTTTGTGGTTTAAATGCTGTGGCATTGAGGCGGCTGATATTTAAGTTTGCTCACACGCATATAAATAAGAGGTATTTATTTCTAGAAGCGTCTAAGGCTCGTACATAACTATCAAGCTCTGAAATAATTTGGTTACTTGTTGGTTAAGACTGTGAATTTCTTCCCGCCTTACATCTTTTGCTGCTGCTTCATCTGCCTTTGCTTCTCCATTTTGGCTTTATTAAGAAATTGCATAATAAATTCCTGTCGAAAAGCGTAAAGTTATAAATAACAGTCGCCACATTGCCACAAAGCGAAGATTTATTGAGATTTTAGAGCAACCAGCAAAAGAGTAACTGACACAGCGCCCCGCCTCGCCTCGCCTGACACGAATGCTAGTTATGTACACTAAATTTTGTCGATTATATATGTACATGTGTTTGTGTATGTGTGTGTGTGTGTTTTGTACGAGATGAGGCGGAGAACTCACTTAGGACTTGTTATTTTCTTCATTTCAGCAAATATACGATGTGTATGTGATCTGGAATTTTTCACCAGCTAGCAGGCGCTGGCATAATTAATGCTTTTATTTTTGTTATGGTGTGGAAATATTTTGAAAATTGCATTTTATCGGCGCTTAGTGTAGGAAATTTATCAATAAACGCACATAAGCCACATTGTGCTGCTTATACGCATCGTTGGTTTGGCGAGAGTAAACAGCTTGTTTAGGCCTCAAGCATGATTTAGGAATAAAATTTTCTCATAAAAGAGTGCACATAAATACATATGTACACAAGCATGTAGGGTTGCGTAACAAATGATTTCATAACGCTAAATTTGCACACAATAGTGCTTAATTGGCAACAAATTTGTGAAACATATTCGAATTTCATAAGTATAAAATACTAAGGCGGTCAACTTGAAAATATCTAAATGTTTCGAAAATTCCACGCTGTTCCTCTCAAATGAATTCATCGGATTAAACGCATATTGAACATAAATATAAGTGATTAACAAATAGTACGATGAAAATGCCATTAGTTTCCGAAATTCCAATTTAGTAGTTTTTTATAAAAGTAATGTTAAATAAAAATTGTTAAGAGGATGCACAGTTTTTTAGCACATAAAAATGTGTTAACCCGAATTAGAAAAAAAACACCAAACAGTAAAAAAAAAATATTTTTGGAATTAAAAGCTTTAGAAATATTTTTTTTTGCTACGAAAATGATTATAAGAAATATAATTTAAGAAAAAACAATGTCTTAGAGAAAATTGTGTTCATCCGAATGAGAAAAAAAACAAACCAAGTATTTTTGGAAAAAAATAAAAGTAATTTTTGGGTCTAAAATTATTTATTTGTTGTTATGTTTAGAACAAAAATTTTGTGAAAGAATTTTTATTGAGATTGAAGCCGTTTTTTATGAAAATTTATTGTGTGAAAAACCACAACAATAGTTTATAAATTTCCCCATCGGACTTTTTCCTCGAGTTCACTGGGATTCGAGCCAGCGACGCCAGCTGTTTTTGCTTTTTCCACTTTTTCCCAACTACAACCAAAGGCAACTGATCTGCTACTATTTAGACTTGATCATGCATAAGTCTTTTGTGGTAAAAAAATCAAATTAGAAGAGAAACTATTATTCTAAGATTGTTTGCGATAAAAAATATTGTATGAAAAGATAATTCAAAAAATGTATACCAAAATTTTAACCTTATGTACGGAAAACCATTATTTATTTGAGAAAAAGCCTTTAAAAAATAGAAAAAATTAAAATAAAGGTTTTGCAAAAATTATGAGATTAGTGAAAATTTCTTAAAAATCCTTGTTTTCCAAAAAATGTCTTTATAAAAAAGTCTCCAGCTCAACAACATAATTTAAAAATAAAAAAAAGTACGTGCGCCTGGGCCGCCCTGGAGAAGTGAAACATACGTTACATATCTATTTTGTCTCATAACCATTATACATACATACATATGTACATGCATATGTACATTAAAGTGGTCCAAAAACGTATGTAAAAAAAATAAGGTCGGATTTTTAATGCCGCCACCCCCTAAGATTGTTATATACTGAAAAAAAATATACCCATATTTTTTTATTTTGAAATCCAAAAATATTTAGGGAGTGCTCAAAGCGCTCAAAGTTTTTCATGAATTTTATATGGAGAAAAAACAATTTTTCGTAGAAATGGTATAAAACTCTTGAAAACCTATATTTTTCGACCCGAAAACTGTGGTTCTCTTCAGGAGACTTCCAGTATTAATATCCAATTGTTTATTTAACCATTTTTTTATGATTCAAGATTTTTTATTGGTCCCCCATTGCATTTTCTAAGAGCTTTGGAGGACCTATAAAATATAGTTACCATGAAAAAATTGTTAAAGAAACAATTGAGTATTATTACTGGGAATCTCCTGAAGATAAGTAAAATTTTCCGATCGAAAAATATTGATTTTCAAGAATTCTACACTATTTCTACGAAAAGATGTTTTTTTCTCCATATAAAATACATGATAAACTTTGAGCACTCCCTAAATATTTTTTGATTTCAAAATAAAAAATAGGGGTATATTTTTTTCGATATAGATCAATCCTAGTGTGTGCCGGCATTAAAACTCCGATTTTATTTTTTTGGACCACTCTAATGTACATACATACATATGCTTTTGCCGAAGGCTATATTTTTTGTATTTTTTTATCTAGATCCCCTGTTCGTTCCAATTACATTTATGTAATTCTGTTTTCCTTTATCTTCATTTTTATCTTTATACTATATAGATAACAAAAGCGATAGTAACATCCAACAAAATACCGATAACAAAACCGATAAAAATATCGATAACAAAATCGACGACAAATTGATAAAAATGTCTATAGCAAAATTGATAATAATATTTGTAGCAAAACCGATCAGAAAATCAATAAAAATATCGACATATAATCGATAACAAAGTCGATAACAAAATCGACAACAAAATTGATAGCAAAATCGATACATTGATATATAATCGATAACAAAATCGATGACAAATTCGATAAAATTTTCAATTTTTTATTTAGGCCTCGTTTTTTATATTCAAATCTCGAGCTTTTCCAATTATAGGCTTATGGCCCCAAGAGAGTTAAACGTGCGTATCAATGCAAAACAAATTTAACTAAATTCAAAATAAATAACCAATTTCTTTTGCGAATCATGCACCCTTTAATTAATTTGAAAGCCCTTTTAATATCACTCATACGCACTGTCTACCTTCATCCACTACCATTGCATGTACTTACCTTGGAAAATAGAGTCGCACAATTTCGCCCGTACGTCCTTTGATGTGATAACTGCACGACGTATTCGGTGGATACCAATGAGCGATACTCAAAAATATACCCTCACTAGCGCTGCTATCCTTCAACGAGTCCGAGCTGAGCAACCAATCGCAAATGCCATGCTTAATGCCCGCCGTCTCCACATGACCCGGCCAATTGCCGACATTGAAATGGAAGCCAGTGTTGAGTAGAGGGCCGGCGGGTGAGGTGACAAATTCGACGTACATGAATTGTGAAGTGCCTGTGAAGAGAGAGAAGGGAGGAAGAGAGAAAATAGCAGAAAGAAAAATTAAGGGAAAGCGTTAAACATGATGAATTTAGGGGAAATACAAAGACAAAACGACGAGAAAAGGTGCTAGCTACGAGTATAATTTGAGTGAATGCGAAGCTAAGCGGCAAAATGCGCTTACACCAGCACTTGGTTATGGCGGTGAATTAGAAATTTGCAATTTCCTCTAACAATGAGTGTGTGTGCATAGCTTGTTGCTGAACTGCATATTCCTGCTGCGTGCGCGTAAATTTATAAATATTAATTGCATTAGCCGCACAATAACCAAGCCACCTGATAGCCATTGCCAGGCGTGCCAGCGAATCGGTTAACCTCAGCATTTGTGGCTGGCCCTAGTGGCAGCTGGCTAATGGCTGGCGGATTGAGGTTGATGAGGAGGTTTGGCATAGATGAAATTGCGTACGTTGCTGCCATAGCCAGTTGCTGTTGTAGTGTTGCATGAATGTCCATTTAAATTGGCATAAATGGCTTTGTTGTATAATTGCGTTTCTCCAATAGCAAAAACTAATACTACTAGAACTTTAGTGCTTTAGTGTGTGCCACGAAGGTTTTGTTTGCAGCAACAGGATCGCTAGGTAGTGGTAAGTGTAGTTGAACATGGAGGAGCTGGTAAGAAGAGAGCCCAAATTCGCAATGGTCCTAACCAACACTTTTTTCGAAACTGCGATTTTCACAGATATTGGTAGGATATATTAAAATACACTTTCACTAAAAATTTGAAGGTGTTAGTCAAAAAACCACGGAGTTATGCCAGTTTTTAAAATGCGCTATCCGTATGTACACATGATTCGATTTTCATAATATTTTTTCTTCTCCTGTAAAAGAAAAATTGCTGGTTAGGACCTTTGTGAATTAAGGTGACGATATGTACATATATCTCAGCGGGTTGCGGAAATATAGGTCAAAATGTGATTAAAGAAGCTCGACAAAGGTATAAAGTGGGGCTAGGACTCTCCGTTTGTTTGGATATTCGCACATGCTAAAATCCAGATATCCGGTTAAGGTCCGTTCTAAATTTGTCATTTGAATATCCCGTTAATAATGGGTTAATATTCGGATAATATCCGGATATCCGGCCAATAACCGTTAATTTTGTTGACCTAATTTCCCGAAATTCAGATTTTTAATCACATATCCAAATATTCGAAATCCGGATTATTCGGATAATTAAAAAACCGGATAGAGCTTTCAGCCTTAGTATAAAGTTTGACAAAGGTAAAAAACAAATGTTTAGGAGAACTTACAAAATATGGATATTAAACTGAAAAGACTATGTTGAAAGTTTAAAGCAGCTAAATTTCTTAACAGGGTTGCCACCATACGTAAATTTATGACAAATATACCGCTTAGTAAAATATTAGTAAAAAAAACTTTTTATAGAGTTGCCACCTACATAAATGTAAAAAATTGATTTCAAAAACATGTCAGTCACATCAGACGTCAACCCTAAAGATTTCTTTCGGTTGTTGAAAGCTATATGAAATAAGTAATAAAAAAATTCCCCTTAGACCCCTTTCTGTCAATCCCGCATACGACACTGCTGCAAATTAAGGCGTTTCAGTGCCAAATACATATGTGCATAGTTATGTGCCGATTGTTGCACTTAAACAGCACCAAAGATCATGTGCAACAACAACTACAATTAGACAATAGAACAGTTGCAGTCAAGCTTGCCGCTTGCCCGCTGATTTAGCATATGGACACGAAAAGCAATAACGACAACGACAACGGCAACAACAGCAATGGCAATATGCATTTGCAAAACAGCACAGCAGTCATTTATTATGCAATTTGACGATTCACTTGCACTCACATGCACACACGCATGCACTTGCAACATATGCGCCATTGCTTGCCACATGAACACCATGACGCGGCTCAGCGCAGTGTGGCGCATTCATTTTCATCAACGGAACAAAATGGCGATTCCACGTCGTATACGCAACATTTGCAGGGCATACAAATGATTGTGATGGATCGCTGTGCCAACCAACAATGGTTTTGTTGTGAGACTATCACAAGAGTTGGTATGTAAGTACGTATATACCAGAGTACAGATGTAGATATACACACTTTGAATAAAACTAATAGTAAACGTTCACCGTACACTAAAAATATGGAATTCAAAAATATGTTTGAAAGCTATTTTTGAGATGAAAAACGCATTTTAAATTTCGCTGTGTGAACTTTACAATTTTAAGTTGAACAAAATTCAAATCGCTTTAGTTATGAAAAAATGTTGAACCCTGACGAATAGAGTCTATAAATCGAGTTTTGAGGCTTTAATTGTATGTTTTAAAGACGCTGATGATATTTGTGGGTACACCCGTTCGTATTCGTTTAAAGACTCTACTAACCCAGTGTTTCCACCAAAGGTTTAACTGCAGTTACGAGCTCAAAAAAACACCAAGGGGGTTCTTAACTTTTGCTTTTTTCTCTCGTTCGCTTCTACTTAATAGGTGGAGTTACCCCTTTCGAGTTGTAATCTGCGTTTTCCAATAGGCATAAACTGCAGTTAAAGCTTGGTGGAACTAAACTATAACGTAGCATTGCGATTTCCAGAACCTCACGGCTCACAGTGGTCTCAAACTAGCATTTGCTGTGCAGAACAGTTCAGAACCTTCGCTTTTTAACCGATGTTATTATCGTACTAGCCATTTTCTTCCATATACTTACATATATATGTAAATAAAGGCGCTCGAAGTTTCAGCTAAAAGCATATTAAAAATCAACGTGCTACATAAAGAATGAACTTTGTTATACTAAAATTTATATAGCTATAAAAGTGCAACTTTACAAAAAAAAAATTATTTTATTTTTTTAATTATTTTGGTGAAATTTTTTTTTAAACATTTCGATTTTCATTGTTGCAATTATTTTTGTAACACTATAAGTATTTTCAATTAGTTTTTATTATACAACTATTACTAACAAAAATATGAGAATAAATTTTCTTCAAAATTGCTACTTCCTTTAAACGTTGCACACACAATTTTTGTTTAAACAATTTAAAATTCAAAATTCGGTATCGATAAAACTCTTCTAGATTTATTAGTTTTCATTAAAAAAATAAGAATAATCAAATCGGTTAAAAAAATAGGGTTGTGTACTATTTCGAACAGAAGACTCTAGGTTGGAATCACTGTGCGACGGGTTTTGAAAACATGCTTATCAGAAAGTTTAAAAAGTTGAAGTAGAAAAAAAATGTGTATAGTAGGTATAGGGTCCTATACTTTTTATTCAATCTTCCTGCGATTAAGTCAATCCCGAACTCATAAACTCATCTCCTGGTTACCACACGCCTTAGGACCTGTTTACCCCTTGTACTCGTTCTTCCATATGACAACCCACGCCATTCAATTGTTCATTTCATTTATTCACTTAGACATTTCACTCAATAAGTCATTCATTCGTTTCGACGTTGTAATGACTTTTTCGCGCGACCAGTTAAAGTCAATGCATTTTAATTTCGTTATTGTCAGTCGTTGTTGCTGGTTGCCGTGCCGCGACTGTGCGCCGTCGTTTAGACCCCTTTTGCTTCCACTTTGCATTTTTCGTTCGACTTTGCATGCATTAGCTGGCTACGACTTGTCTCGTGTGCTTTTGTCTGCGCATATATTGCGCGTTGGTTATGCTGACATTTGCTATTTTCCATTTACCAGCTGCCAACTGCCTTTTAACAATTGTTGAAATTTAGTTTGACGCACATACAATCGTACTTGTATGTATACTATAATTGGTTGCATTGGCGAGTATTTTATATGCTTGTACATATGTATCTATGCGCATATATATTTCGTCAAAAGTGAGTAACTGAACCATTGGCGTGCACTCTGTATTGAATTTCACACTTTATAGGAGGCAATAATTAAGTAAACATATTCAAAAAGGTTCTTAGTAAAAGTTGTATATTCACTCATTTGGAAAATGTAGGAATCTAACAAATAGCTATCAAAGATTACCGAAGAAAGTATCAAATTTGTTCTATGTAGATCCTCTACTTTAACTTGCTTTATTTAATTTTATTTTGAATTTAGTTTAGTTTAATTTAATTTTGTTTTATTTTATTTTATTTTATTTTATTTTATTTTATTTTATTTTATT